CGCGAAAAAGAGAGAGAGAGACAGACAGACAGACAGACAGAAACAGAGAGATAAAGGGCGGTTCTAATTTATCAGACCGTAGTTTATTTGCGCGGCGAGTCCCGCGCCGAGCTTGTTCAGAGAAAATGGGAAGAGCGACCGGGCGCAAAATTTGCACGGATAGACAAACAGATGAATATCGGGACACATCCGCACAGCCACGGCTGATTCATAATACGATACGTATACGTACCCGGGGAAATTGTGTTCCATCGCGGTCGAATTTTGTATTTTAATTTCGTGCTGGTATTAAACGGGCCGCCAGACCCGTTTCAATACGTACCAAGCCGGTTTCATATATCCTGCAATATTCGTTATTCGGTGAGCAGTTGTATGTATATTTCGAACCGCGTTCAAAAGTCTTATTGTTAGTTACAGTTATTATACTGGATTATACGTAGAATTTTCGACAATTTATTTATTCTATTATGTTCCGTATATTGCCGCGAAGGTGTTGGAATATTTGTTGTAAAAAAAATATTTGTTTATGTCTATATCGTGTTTATTACATAGAACTCTTTGAAGTTTCATTAATACAGTAGTGAAACATAGTTATCGCGATCTTTTTTATGGTAAGAAACTGAATATGTTTCAGCAAAACTGTATATGCTTGTAAATACGCATGGTAACTGGCACAATGATATTTTGGATAGAATATTTTTGTAAATATTAGTACACCAAACGTAATGTTAATAACGGTTTTTGCATTATTATAGCTACTTAGCATTTTACTATATTATTATAACTAAGTTTCCGCAACAGAATCCCATAAAAGAGTTGCTAATAGGGTTAGCCCGAGGGGAATTAAGACTCCGATAATCCATGGGATTAAGAACTTCGATCCGATTTACTCAACACTGGCATCGTTCAGGATGCTATTTTGGCGAGGCAATGTATAGAATGGCTCTTTCTTATGCTTCAATATTGTTTCAGTAGCTTTTTTCGAAAGCAGAAGTTCGCGAATGTTTCGTTACGTAATACGTACAATCTATTGAGAACCAACGTTGCATGAACGCATTTTATTTGCATTTTGCATGTTTTCTTTTTCATAATTTACATTATGAAATTTTGTTTCTTAACGTTATAATTATAAAAAAATTGCAAGGATTTGCTTAATTTTCTTTCATACTTTAGACGATAATGTGAATATATGAAAATATTTATAGCACAATAATGTTATTCGTCTTTCGGATTTTATAAAACTTGCTTGATAAAACAACACGTAAATTATTTTAGAATTTCCAATAATAATGCGTTCAAGTAACTTTTACGCTTGGCTCTTAACAGGTGAAGCCTACGTTCTATAAACAACCACGACGTCGTAGTTCGACCGTGGAAAACCCTGAAAGCGAGCTCGATCGGAGAGCGATCAAACTGGCAAATCGAGTTGCATTGGTAGCCGTAAACGATCGATAAGACGTCATAAAGAACCGGAAAAACGGGGCGAATATCGAGCGTAAGCTGTCCTCGGCGTTCCATTCATGAGATATCGAGGAGTTTGGCGCGCGGGGCGTTGAAATTTGGTAGCGTTAAAAAATCGGCTTTCACGTTGCAGCCTGTTCAAAAATATACTTTACGGCCTGAACGTTACGCGAAAGCGTTTCGGCGGAACGAAAATCGAATACGTACCACCTATCTCTGTTCTCAGGCCTTTTACCATCGTAGAGGAATAAAATCAAACTTTCGCCGAGCCAAGCGTCGAGCGAAACAATAACGAAAAAACGTGAAGATAAACGGCGACGAAGAAAACATGGCAACTTGGTCGTAAGCGGTTCGAAACGATCGTGGAAGTTTAAAAACTGGCAAAAGACGGGTGTGTGTAATATTTCATAGGTATATCGCTGGTGGCTTGGTTCCAAAACGCGTGTCTCTTCTCGAAGCCACGGTTAAATGACAAAATCCCTTGTAAACTGTAACATAGATCAGCCAGTTGAAGGATAAACGAGCAGACAGAAGCGAAACGATGAACAAAGAGAGGAACTCGACGTAACGGGGATGTAGTCGAACGCGAACGAAGAAAGAGGAAGTAGAGACAGGGTGCGAGAAACAGGGTGGAATCCCTTTCATCTCCGGGGTGCTGGCTGTCCCCGCGACTGAATACGAAAACGTCATTTAATTCGTCGTTCTGCGATAGTCTCTCCCTGCCTCCAGTCTGTCTCTCTTCCGTTTTCATCTCATCCCTCTTCGAATCTCTCTCTCTCTCTCTCTCTCTCTCTCTCTCTCTCTCTCTCTCTCTCTCTCTCTCTCTCTCTCTCTCTCTCTCTCTCTCTCTCTCTCTCTCTCTCTCTCTCTCTCTCTCTCTCTCTCTCTCTCTCTCTCTCTCTCTCTCTCTCTCTCTCTCTCTCTCTCTCTCTCTCTCTCTCTCTCTCTCTCTCTCTCTCTCTCTCTCTCTCTCTCTCTCTCTCTCTCTCTCTCTCTCTCTCTCTCTCTCTCTCTCTCTCTCTCTCTCTCTCTCTCTCTCTCTCTCTCTCTCTCTCTCTCTCTCTCTCTCTCTCTCTCTCTCTCTCTCTCTCTCTCTCTCTCTCTCTCTCTCTCTCTCTCTCTCTCTCTCTCTCTCTCTCTCTCTCTCTCTCTCTCTCTCTCTCTCTCTCTCTCTCTCTCTCTCTCTCTCTCTCTCTCTCTCTCTCTCTCTCTCTCTCTCTCTCTCTCTCTCTCTCTCTCTCTCTCTCTCTCTCTCTCTCTCTCTCTCTCTCTCTCTCTCTCTCTCTCTCTCTCTCTCTCTCTCTCTCTCTCTCTCTCTCTCTCTCTCTCTCTCTCTCTCTCTCTCTCTCTCTCTCTCTCTCTCTCTCTCTCTCTCTCTCTCTCTCTCTCTCTGCCACCAAACTTCCTTTGTCCTTGTTTTTTTCATCCTTTTTTTTACGTCCAATCACAGCATCAGACACTTCTACAGGATATCGATCATACGGCACGTGGAGATCACTGTCGGCCGGCGAAACGAAAAAAATTTTTCCCGATATTCTCTCTCTCGCAGGGCGAATTCGCTTCAATTAGAGCTCGCTCGATGAATGGTACTTACAAAAGAAAAAAGTGGAAAAAGGAGAAAAAGGAAAAAAATTGGCAGACGGGGGTAAGACGGTGGATGAAGAAGAAAATGAAAAGAAAAAGTAGAGGCACCCTTTCGGCGCGTAGGACGTGCAGACCCGTTGCAAATCCGGCTGCACCGCGAAATTTTACGAAACGTCACAAACGCTGTTTCTTTTTTCCCGTCTGTCTTAATGTAATTCGATGTCCTCGCGCGGATAATAAAACGCCAGACAGGTTCCATAAACGCGTCGTCGATGGACGTTAACACGCTCGGGATTATGTACTTCAATTCGAATATTGTCTGTTTATAGCTTTATAACGAACTGTGTCCACTCGTTTCCGATACGTTTTATCTTGATTTAGAATTGGTATTAAAACGTGGACGTGGTATATTTACGCGTATCAAAGTGAATTGGACATTTGGATATTTTTCGCGTCGTTTGAAAGTTTATTTCCGATATTTATTAAGACAATTTCCATTGAATCAAATCTTGTCATTTTGCGGAATAGATCGCCGTTTCTCTGTTTTTCCGCCTGATGAAAATTCTTTTCTCTTTTTTATTTCTTTCAATACTTGGAATAAATTTTAAAAATTCTAACAATTTTTTAATAATTCTTGATGTTATCCTAACATTTTTCATAAGTGAATTAGTGACCAATTTATTCCGGCATCTGTGCAAAAATGATAAATATTCTAGAATTACATTTACGCATTTATTTATGTATTAGAAGACCATCGAACAATTTAATATTTTAATACTATCAGTGAAGAAAGCATCACAGGATGTACAGATTAGAGATTTTAGAGGGAAATAACGGCATTTTGCTTGGTACTTCAGTCTAGTCTCGTATCCAGAATAAAAGCTAACGGCACGATTGCTATGAAAGAAGAGTCGTACCATCACGAGCACGAGCTACATCCTCAATTGTAAAACTCAGACGCTGTAGTTGCCGACAAATACGCGAAATGATGGCGCATTATGTTAACAGTCGATTTAGAAACACTTGTCCGTGCAATTTCTTTCTCATACGAATCACGGTTCTTCCTGGACCTGACATCAAGCCATTATTCATGAAAGCTAGAAGAATTTTCTTTTCGACAATGGAACCTCCCACCCTGTATGTCTGTTCTCTTATTTATCACCGGATGAGGCTGTCAACCCGCGACAAATATTACATTCCATTCATTTTTCAAGCTTTTTAATATAACGTCATGTAATGTATTATGTATAATATGTTTAGGCGGAATAATAGTGTCAAATTTATCGGATATTATTGAAATTTGTTTATATAGGATGAAAATCATTAACATGTACCGTTTAATAGGTTTATTATCGCGTTGTATGTTACGACAAACTTGTTGTTCAGACTGGAAATACAAATAAATAAACTGAAAACTGAAGTAAATAAACTGTGAATGTAAATAAATATAGCAGGAATGAAAACGAAATGGACAGACCAAACAGATTAAAACAAACCGGAAATACAAATAAACAAACCGCGAATAGTTCCTATATTATAATGTAGGAACTACACTTTGTGTAGTAACAAAGAATAAAGGCATCGGTGTGTATTATCTGCATTTCGCGTGATTAGAATAAAGTTGTTTCAACGTGATAAGATACGAAATGCATTAATATGTGTATCTACTAATACAACAGAAAGTTAGAACATTCTTGTATGTTAGTGAAGATTAAAATAAGTGAACTGGGAAATTTTCATGAATTTTTAGTATCGTCGTATATCATTTTATTTTTATTATTATTTTTAATTGAATCATTATGAAAATGGTAGAATAGAATTTTTGTTTCTCGGTTTACCTTTAAAATTGTTAAAAATCTGTACAACACCAGTTGCTTCTCTCATTTCTGAAACAAAATATCTTTATTATTGTAATATTTTTATTATTATTTTTAATTGAATCGTTATAAAAATCGTAGAATAGAATTTTTATTTCTTGGTTTACCTTTAAAGTTGTTAAAAATCTGTACAACACCAGTTGTTTCTCTCATTTCTGAAACAAAATATCAATTTATGTATTCGTATCTGTATATTTCATCAACCAATAATATTTCGCTCTAAAATACCACACCCTCGATATAACACAATATTCGTATTAAAGAGGGTTACCTGTAACACAATAAGGATTACATATCCTAAATCCTCGTAATACCTCATTAACAAACAACGATACCCACTTCAAAGTCACTAGATATCAGAAATCCGTGGCGAGAACCTCGTTTGAAGATCGTGTAAGGGGTAGAAATTGCGTGGAACACGCAAGAAGCAGCTCGAGCGACGATGTTTCGAGTAAAAAGCAAACCTCTCGTACGAGGCTAGCCTCGCAAGGTAAACTCTTCGTCGAGAGGGTGGACCGGCACTCGAACGGGCTAAATATCCGAAACACAGGCGGTCCCGTTATAAAATCAAAATGTCTAGACTTCTTGAACGAAGGGAAGAGTCCCTCGGGGTAGCGCGTCATAATTCAGTAGTTTGCCTGCCGTGAAACTCACGCAACATAAGCGGTGGTGGGCTCTTTCAACGGTCCCACTCAAATGGTCCTTGGGAACTAGCACGCGCCAATTTGTATGGGAACTCCCCGAGAACCCCTCGCGTCCTTAATATGTGGTTAAATTTCTTGCTCTTTTCCCTTCGTGTTGTGTCCTTTACCGAAGGACTATCGAGAAACATATCGAAAAGTTTCGTGAATTTACAACAGCTGTTCCACAACTTTTTTTTTAGTTACAAGCCCCTTTCATAATAAATAAATAATCTATGATCCCCCCCCCCCCTC